AACCCACCAGCCACTCCTCGGAAGGAAGATGGGGCAATCTACTTCCGCAGTGATACTGCCTCGGAAACCCAAGGAGGGGTCACTATGAGTCAGGTCTGACTCGACGGCACAAAACAACAACAACAACAACATTGGTTACTATACTATTAATCCAACAAATCATCAAAATGTCTATCCAAAGAAATAGTATAAGAGCGAGAGAGAGAAAAAGAGAGATCTTGACACAGCAATTAAACAGTAACAATGACACAGAACAGGAACAAAGCCTTCCAGGGGTAAAAAGGCCTCTGTGTCTCTCCCATCCCAAGTGTACACCCCGACCACCCCACCACATCTACATCACCCTTACCCTAAGGTTGCTGCCTGCTGGAGAAAATCATCAGCCTCCTATCTGCAGACCTCTCACGATATATGAGTTGGAGATATGCATCTTCAAACAAGGTTGTCTTGAACGTAGTATTTCAAAGCATACCAATTCCTCGAAGCAACAAGAAATGCAGTTCCAAGAGAGCAAAATCTAGCTGAATTACCTTGTCTTCATTATAGAAAGCAGATCAAATAAAACAAAGATCACACACCCCAACCCAAAATCCACTGCTGTTGAGTCAATTCTGACCCTCCATCTAGGACAGAGTAGAACTGTCCCATTGATTTTCCAAGGCTGTAATCTTTATGGAAGAAGACTGCCGCATCTTTGTCCTGGTGACGTCTGAGTTAGCAGCTGAGCGCTTAACCACTGTGCCACCAGGGCTCCTAATCACACATGCTATGCCCTAATTCACTTACTTGCCCATCACTGAAAGAGTACTGCGGTAACATGTCAGCAGGGGCAACTCCGATGGGGTGTCAGAGCTGCAAAGAGGGTGCTGGAGGAAAACCTCACAGAAGTCATCTTGGTTCCAAAGACCACACAACGATCAGCAGAAGAAACAGCAGGAGCAGACTCCACCCCTCCCCAAGTGCAGATTTCAGCAAACCTTGGTGAGGTTATCAGCCCTGGGAAAGTGCAGCAGCTTCAGGAAGGGAGGAGGGAGGTGGATCCCTGGACACTCAAAGGAT